AAATGTAGAACGAGAAAATCGAAATCCATATTGATGATTAGAAAGTAAGTTATAAGATTCAAAATGAGAGATTAAGTGTTTGTTAATTAAAGATTAAAAACCTTGTTTATGAAAGGAAGAAGACTAATGGGACGGCAGTTAGACGAATCAGATCGCTCTATAGAATTTTTGAAAATAGGGATCAGAGATGCCCCTGGAAAATAAAACTCTTATATGCACTTGTTAAATAGCTTTGAAAGTATAGACAACAGCTCCGGAGAATACTTCTGCAAGACTATAACAGGTAAGTTGTTCAAACCACAAGCTGTAGAAGAGCTGAACAGGAAATTTTAGATACGGAACTGAAGTGACACAAATATTAGAATGTAGAACGCAACTGGTGGAATAAAGAGATAGTAAGAATGAAATGTTCGTTGCAAACAATTCAGCTTTGTCTTTGGGTGAGATGACAAAGTCTGAACCATACTAGAGATGTGGAATTACAGGTTTGCTCTTATTTTTCATACTATTAAAGATTCTCCAGAAGTCACGAGAGTCTAATTTTTGTGATGAAATACGAGATTTCATGACCTGAAAATAACGGACTTTGGCGTTAGAGAAAACCTTTATACAATGGTTTCTAGCAGTAATAAACAGACATCTGTTTTCTGGAGAATTAATTTGCTGATAGATATTGAAGTAACGGTTTCGATTGGCAATTGCAGCAGCACAATGTGAAGAAAACCATGGAGAAGAGTGAGGCTTGACCTGGAGTCGTCAAGAGGGAATAAAAGATTCCATTCCAGTCTGAATTCACGAAGTTATGTAAGAAGCACATTTGTCAACAGGAAGACGAAAGATTTCTACCCAAGGCCCATTACAAAGAAAATCATGGAAAGAGTCCCAGTCAGCTTTAAGGTAGTTGTAAGAGATATGATCATAGAGAGATTCAGATGATGAAGAAGAAAGAGATAATAGTGATTACTGAATAAAAATTACTGAAAGTAATGATTATAGTAATGATTACCTTTTTTAAAGTAATGGCAAAGTAATAATTACTTGGTTTGTGACAAGTAATGGAAAATGTAATCATTACTTTTTTTAGAAAGTAATTAGTAATGTTTATATTAAATTACCTATTACTTTTGTTTTGTCACAGAAGTTTTGGAATCCTAACTCTGGTTAATGTATTTCTCATGTCATCATTAATAACCCTGATCCAAAGACCATTTGGTTTACAAATACCTTGTGGTAGCTAAAGCTATATAAAGTATTTAAATATATTTAGTTAATAAATTTTATGGCAGTTTCATCGAGTGGTTGTGATCACAACCACTCGATAAAGAAGATGGATCTGCTACGCTTAAAGCAGCAGACAATGTTATTGATATACATGCAAGCTATGTCCAAAATCAAAAGCATCTAAAATAGCTTGTAGAGTAGCAGTGTCATTAAGTTTCATAAAGCATATAAAGGTCACTTAAACGTGTTAAAGTTATTATTTTTATTAACTAAAATTATCAAATCAAAAATTTGTGAATTTTTTTGCGAAAGCAATAGCAAAACTTATTTTGCAACAAACAGTTAACAAACTTATTCAGGATTTTATAGTAGTATAAATGAAACCTCTCCGTACTATCGAATGTCTTTCTTTCAAAGCGCTGGTGACTAGATTATGTCTATCTGCAACTGTGACATCTAGAGTTACGTTGACAGAAAGCATAAAGTCCGATTATAACACCGTGTGTCTCGCAATCAAGGAACATATCTGTGGTATTGATTATGTCTGTACTACTGATATCTGATATCTGGAGTAGTCATAACCAAAGTTTTCTAGAAATGGCATGCCACTGGATAAATCCTGTCATTTTGGAACGAAAATCTGTTGCTTTGGGTTGTTTGCGATTAAAAGGAAAAAATTCGTTCAATGTAATTGCATTAGCAATATATCAAGCGCATGTACGTTATGCTTTTAAACAGAAAGTTTAAAAGCATAACGTACATATATTCCTGCACGTATAAAAACGTGCAGGAATAATGCATCAAATATGATAAAAACATTTCGTATCTTCCATGGTCTCGATGTTGGTGAGAAGAACGAGGATCAGGCAGCTAGAGTTCAGTTTTGAACTTAAACGGAGATTCGGAATCAAAGAATGACGACAAGGACACTAGAGATTTAAGTGAGGCAACTGCATGTTTTGACAGTGTTTCTGATTTAATTCTTAGCTCAACAAACAACACTAGTGTTACATTGCCCTCACACATGAGATGCTGCACACATTCTTTAAATCTGGTGTCAAACACTGATGCTGCAAAAGCATTAACAGATAACACTTATAAGCGTATTCACAATTAAACAATGGCAAAAGCAACAGCTCTATGGAACTTAACAAGTAGAAGTACAAAGGCTGCAGATTTAGCATATGATCTGCTTCAATACCGGTTCAATGTGTCCTGTGCAACATAATGGAATTCGTACTAGAAAGCTGTCAAGAAGATTCTTAAAGCTGAAAAAAAGCTGAACATCTTCTGCTCTGCATTAGAACTTCCAGTATTTTTGCAGAAAGATTTGGCTTTTCTGAAGGAATATGTTATGTTGTTTGAACCTGTGGCAACTGTTATTATAGTTTTTTTAAGGTGAAGCCAATTGCAACTTTTCATACGTACTTCCAACAATCCAGTCAGTTCAAACAAAACTCCAAAATGCAGAGATTAGATTAAGACCACTTAAAGAAGTTCTTCTACAAGGAATTGCAAATAGCATTGATGGTTACTTTGACGATCCAGAATTTCTCCTGGCTACAATTTCACATCCAAAATTTAAATTAGCTTGGACACAAAATATAGCCGTCAAGGAAAGATCTATGCATCTTTTGAATGCACAAGCTACAAAATTTGAAGAATTTGATTGAAAAAAAAGCTTCCCTAAAAGATAAAAATGATCAGAACGTTCCAACTGAAAACAAAGAATATGGTTTTCTTTTCTCTGAAGTTAGTAAACCAAATATAATGTCATGTGACAGCTTTCTATAGAATTCAGACCGTAATTTGGCCATGCTCCACCGTCATGAAGCTGTCAAGCATGTTTTTCTTAAATACAACACCACACTGCCATCGAAGTGCTCCAGTTGAAAGACTTTTTAGCAACGGATCGTTAATTATGACAAAACGGAGAAACAGACTGAGCGATGATTTGTTTGAAAAACTTTTGTTACTGAAGCAAAATGGGAAGATTGAGTTATAAAACCTCAAATTATAGTAATTTTTAAGTTTCAATGTTTTGCTTCATACAGATGTCAGCTCCGTGATAAGCACAATCAATCCATAGACACACAGACTTTTATTTAATACCTATTCTATCTATATAGGACACATCCATAGGTGATAGAATATATACATAGATAATAGTTAGTAACATGATACTCGTTAAATTCGAGGCGTTATTTAGATTAGATTATTATTTCAATAACATAATTTTAATTATTTAAATAACAAATAAAAAACATTGTTTAAACAACATATTTAAATAAATAATTTAAATTAATTATTATTTAAAAAACAATAAAAATAAAATGAAAACGATTAGATTTAAGGCAATTAAAACCACAACAATATTTATGCAAAACCATAAATTTGTGCAATTTTCTGCAAAATATTGTAGCGCGTAGTTTAAAAAAAAAAAAAAAAAAAGAAAACTGGAAACGAAATTAATTATAATAGGGAAAATAATGTTAGCCAGTATTTAAGTTTGCTAAACCGGCAAAATAAATCTTAGCTTCATTTTTTTCTTGCATATTTTATGTCAATGCTTTATAAATGAGAAGAAATAAAATGCAAATAAGCTTCCAACCAAATGTTTGTAGCTGTACCAAAAATAATGTCTGTAGCACTTCAACGACTTTGGGGAGAATGATACCTAAAATCATTTAAAAACGATTAAACTAAATCAAGCCATCATTATCAATTTTAAAATAAGCGTATTAAAATATCTAGAGATGAATCTCATTTTTCGAACTTTAATATTATAAAATGATTCAATTTTGTAAAAATTTGAAGTAACAAAATATTTCGGTCAATTTTGAAATTAAAAAAATTTTATGGTGCCATTCTTAGAAATTAGATAATTCTTATTTTATCGAAATTCTAAAATGGCACGGAAACTTTTTTCACTTTGAAATTAATTAATTCGAAAAACAAAAACTATTTAGGGACAAAATTCATTAATAAACATCTGTTTTGAACTTAACAGGAGAAAAAAAAGAATTTTGAAAGCGTTTTTTTTTATTAATTTTTTTTTATCGTACATTAAACTTTTTCTTTCCTTGGACAACCCTAATCTCAGTATTTCCTTTATAAATTGCTGTTTTGTTACTATAAATAAGGTATAAACAAATTATTTTTTTGCAAATAATTTTTCTTAATTTTAAGTTTGATACAAATAAATATCCAAAAAATTTTTCCTTCTGGTACAATATTACAAAAAGTGGCATTTTTTTAAAATCACTTTTCTTTAGATTTCATGCGTCAATACTTACTTTGAATGCGTCATTTACGTTAATTAACCTGCGCTTATTTCTGCGTAAACTGAATCGCAGAGCAGCGTGTTCTCTCAAAAGTAAATTCTGTTGAGACTAAAACGTGCTACGGATCTCGTAAATATAAATAAAAGTAAACTAAAAGAAAAAAGTTTAGAAAAAACTTATCATGTAGAACTAGATAGCAAGAACAAAAACTTTATATATTTTTGTAAATAATATTTTTTATTGATAATAATGGAACCACAATTAAAAGCTAGATTCTATTTTAAAGGTTCAAAAATAGCTTTTCAAATACTAGTATTATATTATATAATAAAAATAGATTAATATAAAAATTCACTAAATGATAAATCGCTTGAAAACCCAGGGTTTTTTTATGCAGGAGAGAGCTGTACAAAATTTAATTTAAAATAAGTTTTGTAAAAATGTCAACAATAATGTCTAAAAATAAATATAAACATTTTTTTAGCTTTCAAGTTTTTATTAGATATTGCGGAACTTTCAACGCCTCCGTTGAAAGCTTCAAAACGACCACAGAAATTTTTTAAAACGACCGCATTTCTTTTTATGACGACAATTTCAAAAGGGTATAAAAGTCAAGATTTCTGTCAAAAACAAGTTAATGCACGCAACAAGTGATCCGTAAAACTTTCAAAATTTAAAAGGAGTTTAATTTTTTATTGGTAAGGGTTATTTATCATTTTAAATCGATATTACGATAAATTTTATATAATATATAAATTAATATAATACATACGATAAATTAAAAAATTATAAATTAAATCTTTAATTTATCAAATGAGATTACAAAGAAGAAAATTAGAATGATTTTGTTACTTAATTACAATGCAAAAAAATTGTTATATGTGATTTTTTCAAATAAATATTGAGAATTTGAAAACTAATTAAATTACAGTTTTTGAATCTTCAACTGTTTTCTTTTTCCTTTTAGCTTATCAGAAGTAAAATGCCTCATTGGCACGTACCTGTTCACGGATATGTTCCATCAGTATCTGAAGTTGTTATTATTATTTTATAATAAATTTCAGTGTATATATACTTGTATATATCCATACACACACACACACACGCACACACCCACCCACCCACAAACACAAACACACACACACACACACATGCATATGCATATGCATATGTACATGCACATATATATATACATGTATACACAATATGTATAAATGTTATATGTATATCTATGTATAACATATGTATATGTATGTATATTAGGTAGAACAAAATTCATATGAATTTAGGTTAGCATTAATTATTTAGCTTGCAGATGAAAAAAAGAAATTGTGTCACATTCCTACTCGAGAATACGATCCGTCCGATCAGTTCTTTGATGATATGATGGATATAACATATCCCCCATTTAGATACTTTCCTCAATTCAATGATAGAGAAATTACTAAAAAGATGAAAAAAGAACATGATCGAATGTACAAAAAGCTTATGGAATGCCTTCCATATGCGTGCGGTCAATTAGAAAAAACTTCCGCTAAAGAAGATAACGGTTTTATGGTTGATCTTGATGTCAAACATTATAAACCTGAAGAAGTAACTTTAAAAGTTGAAGGTATTTTTTTTTCAATTTAGCAGTGTAAGCTAAAGTTTATAGAATTTTCGAGTAATTGCTGTTCTTTTCTTTAATGATCAAGCGTTAATCGGAGAATAGGGGAAGGGGGGAGGGGGACAGAATTTCAAAGCGTTTTAATTTCACCTTAATTCCACTTTTTTATGCGTTACAGGTTATAGTATAATAAGATTCAATATAAATAGAAGAACGCTCTCCAATATAAAAAGAAGAACGTAAATCTCTTTTTTTTTTCTTGAGTTGATCACCTTTTTTTATTAGTGTATTAAAAACATATATTTTTTGTTTGTAACACATATTTATTATTTTAAAGGACGAGTTCTTGAAGTAAGTGGTAAACATCATAATAAGACTGAGAATGGTTTTGAAACTAGCGAGTTTCAAAGAAAGTACACTATTTCTGACGATGTAGATGCGACAGCTATTACTTCAATTATTAACGAAGATGGTGTTTTGCATATTGAAGCTCCAAAAATGCTCCCTGTTTCGGCTGATTCCATAGAATCAACAAAAGATAATTTTAAATATTGTTTAGATGTACAAGGTTTCAAGCCAGAAGAAATTTCAATTCAAGTTAAAGGTAGAGATTTAGTTGTTCGTGGTGAAACAAAAACTGAGGACAGAGATGAACACGGTTTAAGTTTTCATCATAAACAATTTACAAAAAAAGTATCTTTACCAGATGATGTTGATCCATCTCATTTAAGTTCTTGTTTTACTAAAAATTCGAAGTTGAATATAGAAGCTCCACGCAGTCTTTCTCAGGCACCCTTAAAGCTAGAAATCAAAATGGACGAGTAAACAATTTAATTGAACTTATTGTTAGGGAGTTTTTTTAATTGTAAACGTTTTTTATTTTTATTTCAATTTTTTTTTTATTTGAAAAATTCTTATTCTTCTTGTTACACTTCATAATTTATGTTTCTTATTTTTATACAAAGTTTAGACTTTTTTTGTTCTTTTACTCCTTTGTAAATATTTGTCTATTAGGATATTTATAAAAACAAGTTAAATTCTTATTTTGAAAGAAAAATGCAAATTATTAATAGTTGCTGTTTGTGCGAGATAGTAGAGAAAACATAACCTGCTAGATAATAACAAGGGTAAACATAACCTTTAATTTAAAGCGCCTCCGGACAAAAATTCATATCCTTAAAAAAATATAAAGTGCTTTTAGTATCGCCCTTAACGCTTTGCATTTAAAATATATACTGATCCATTACCTCTCAGGGCGAATTCAGACCATATAGTAAGGAGGGGGGGTACGATTTTTAGATATTTTTGATTCGGGGTATCCAAATCATAGATAATAGAGTAAGGGGACAATTTTTAGGTTCGATGAATTGTCAACAATTTAAAATAAATTTAAAATTATATTAAGGATATTTATATGTGGTAATTTCATTGATTAATACTCTTAATTTAACTATGAAATTACGTCGTATGATGATGTCCTAATAGTCTAATTTTTATTTTTTTTTGCGTTAAAATGTTTTTAAAATTGAATTTCACTTTCAAACCGCTGTTTATTAATTTTTACTTGTTATCAAAAAAAAAAAAAAGAAATCAGTGAAAATCGACCTTAAAAATTAGAAAATAATTATTTCAGTCATTAATAAAAACAAAAAATTTCAGTGTAAACAGGCTTTAAAAATCACCGACCAAGTAAATCTTGATTTTTCGAAAATGGCTTTTAATTTTTCTCATCAAACTATAAACTTATATTCAGCATTTTAAATCCTATTGAAATTATTATAAAACAGCTGTTAAAAAATGCGCAATTGACCACAAGCCACGCTCGATTTAAATAGTTTTATGCATGTTTTGTAAAAAATATTAGTTTGAATTTATAAATTGAAATTTTTTGTATAAAATAGATATATTGTAAAAAAATCCCTTAATTTTAACTTGTAACATAAACTGAAGGCGACGATGAGGCTCGGCGATAAGACAATATACATCTTCTTCTTGTTCTGGCCATTTATTTTAAATGAACGATCTTTTTTATTGTTAATTTTACTAAACGGCAAAGAAAATAAATAAATAAACAGATGAAAGAATACAACACTTTTGTATTTTTAGTATTACGTCATTAATTATGCGCATAGTTAACTAATGAACAGCTAATTTTTCAACAAGCTCAACAAATCACCAAAGTTTTACAAGTTTAGTATGGAGTTTACAAGTTTAGTATGACGCCTAAAATGAGTGACAAAATTGCCCAAGTTTTAATTTAAATGCAATACCATAGTCAGAAAATTTTTGACTCAGCACATTAATCTAACCAGTGGCGGATTTAGTATAGGGCGTGGGAGGGGGGGGGGGGAGAGCTGCCTCCCTACGCCCCCCAAAACGGTCTAACGGCGCCCCCTAAAACAATTAAAAAATATATATATAAGGTTAAACTACTGAAGGCAACCCCTGTCGCCCCTATTTATTGACTTGGCCCCCCCCGCGACACTAAACCTCAATCCGCCACTGAATCTAACTAACTGTTATCTCTGTAAACAGGGCCGGCGCGAGTAGGGGTCACGTGGGGGAATGCCATTACAACTTTTGCCCTCTAAAAACAAAAAAAAAAAAAAAAAGGTCCTCGTTTTTTAAAATTTACCGACTGCTATAACGACATTTGCCGACTGACTTTACCGACCAACCTATTGACAGGGTCTACATTTGCCGACTAACTAGTCAAAAAGGGTCACATTTGCCGACTAAGGGTCAAATTTGCCGACTAAAAGTCAATGATGGGGGGGGGGAATGTAACACCCCCCCCCACACACACACACACACACACCCCTATCGCGCCGGCCTTGTCTGTAAATAATTTCAAAGAAAAATATTATACCAAACCGAAAATATTTTTGTTAGAAAGTGGAAATTTTTTACACGAAGAAAAACATAAAAATAAATAAAATAATATTGAATTAAATAGACTTTTCTTATTTAAGAAATGAAATTAAGGCAAAACTTTTATTCCGTTTTTGCACATTTTTTATTGTTTATAAACGTTAAACCTTCCAAATATAAGAAAAAATCTTTCAACTTTTTTGTATTTTTTAGATTTTCAATAGTGGGTTGCCACCTCAATAGACCTTTCCCATAAATCAGCGAACCCGCAATGCATTGTGGTAGTTGTATTCATTTAAATCAAAGCAAATGTCAAAAAGCCTAATAAACAGTAATCTCTCAGTGCTAGTTCTGTAACTATTTAAGGAAACAAAAAATATTGTGCCGACAATTATTTAAAAAACCCTTAAACGGCTACCTGTTCACTATAAAAAATCCAACTTAGCCCTAATTTAATAACTAAAATAACACCAAAACATTATTGAGAATTACTAGTTAACTTCTAGCAGTTAAATCCTAATTCCTATAGAAGTTAAAACAAGAAAATGAAAATCTTAAATGTTGAATTGAAGTTATCCTTAATATATATATAGAAAAACTTTTTCAAAAAAACTATATAGAAGCTCAAAGAAAAAATTCTTCATTTACAATATACAGGTTTTAAAACAACAATGAACATATCAAATTTTAAAATAATGAAATATTTAATGTTGTTCAATTTTGAACAACAACAGCAAAAAAGACAAAATAAGAAGCATTTTAAGTTGTCTTGCAAACTTATTTTACATGAAATATTTTTGCTAAAATAAACTTGAAATAAAATTCTGTTTTCTTTAAAAAAATAATTAACAAAGAATATTCTATAAATCCGCATTTTAATTATTCGTTTGGTGTTTAATGATTTTTCTCATGCACAATAAAAGTTTTAGTTTCTATTCGTTGTTTTACCGTTTCTGTTTGTAGTACCATTGCTAAATTTTGTATAAAAATCTTGATCATTGCATTCTTCTATAATTGTTAAATCTTATTATTGAAACTATTAATGCTTTATTTTTATTAATTTTATTAATTTTATTAATGCTTTATTTTTCACTTACTTTATGTAGTTTTTTCAGCACTCAATACGCTATCAGAGATACAAATCAACCACATTTTAAGTTTATACAATAAAAAATGTTTTCATATAGTCTTATAGACTTTTATACCATTCTTTTTGTATATTCAGCTTTTTTTCTACTTTGATATTTTATATACTTGCATATTTTTGTTTCAATTTGATGCTCCTTTGATGAAATCCTTTTTTTTCTTTCTCTATACTATTTTTTATTTTAAAATTGTTTAAATGTAAAACACATACTTGAAAAAACGTAAATATAACTCTACAATTTTTTGTTCAGAAGACAAACAAGTAATTGATTTTATTTGTGATATTGTCAAATAGAGTAATAAAAACCAATCTTCCATCTTTTTAACTAAAATTTTTAAAGAGATTTTAAGATTTTATAAATCTTCACAAACTGTTTGAAGTTGTAAAGTTTAATTTTAAAAAGAATTTGGAAATGAACAGTATTTGCATATCACTGAAACGAGACATATTTTTTGAATTTTATATGTCTTTAGAAGTCATCAGCTTTTTTAAATTTAGTTTTGAAAGCAAATTACTTCAGAGTTAGTTGATTCACTTTGAATCAACTAACTCTGATATGCTGTGTCTGTAAAAATTCAGTTTCTCTTCAATAATTGACTCTTTATAGTTAACTAGTTGGTATAATGATGTAGCAGTATGCTTATATTATAAGTCTATGATAATGTCTGTTATAAATTAAAAAAGACACCATACCAGCTTCAACTTTCTTTTACATCTTACAGTTGCATTTAGCATTAATTACTTCCCAGTAGACTAGCACAAACGTATAACAACTTCTTATTGTTCAGGTTTCATAGACGTTGCAATATTACACTTTACAAAACCCAAATGTATGGATGCTTTAACCCGTACATTTTTCCTGTAATTTTCTTTCAATAGACAGTAGCTAAGCTTTTGACGTTTGTCTGTTTAATTATCTAATGATATACTCCTATTACCAAGATAATTCTTTATAAAATTATATGGTATATTTGAAAAAATGATGTCTCTTGTTTAGGTTGAGAAGCTGATGTTTATCAACTTTTTTTTTTCAAATATTACTACGTTACATATTCTTTGTTCATCGAAAAAAATAAGTTTATCATATTTAAGTTTACAAACTTTAGATGCCAGATAAAAGATCTGAAATTATAACTTATTACTATAATATTTATATCAAAAAACTTTCAAATGAATACAACTACCACAATGCACTGCGCGTTTGCCAATCTATGGGAAAGGTCTATCCGCCGTTATTGCACCAACGGATTTTCCGTAAAATTAAGACATTAAATTCCGCTGATATTAGTCTCTTAAAATTAAAGATTTTTTACGTCAGTGCAAAAACAATCCGTTGAAAAAAAATGAATTAATATGCTAGCGCATAGTACAGACGACTTTCAACAGAAAGTAACCAACGACAAAAATTTCTAACTGAGATAGTAATATATGTTGCAATTGATTCCTTTTTGATAAACATGAAAAAAAAACTCGCGAATTATGCATGCCCGATTGTAGTAACAACGGAAAAATATACGCAATCAAAATGATAAAAATTTTAGATTTTGCATTAAATTCATCTACAGAAAAAAACGAAAAACAACTCCTGAAATTGGGGTTCTGTAACTTCAAATGGAATTATTAATAATATAATATAATAAGCGAGAAATGAATGAAATATTAAGTGAGAAAATTATGAAGGCGTTGCATGAAAAATTTTCTTTATTGGAATCAGATGAATTCGATATTGTTAAAGTATCACAAAAAAAATTAATATATGTATGTATGTATATATATATATATATATATATATATATATATATATATATATATATATATATATATATATATATATATATATATATATATATATATATATATATATATATATATATATATATATAT